TATCCTCTCTCTCCCTGGTCCAGAGGAGTGAATACCAGCTGGTGGCGCCTAGCGAATTTGCGGGCGGCGGTGGCTGTCACGCCCTCGTCTATGTAGTCGTAAGGGCTATCCGGCCAGTCACCCCGTGCTTATCTTACGAAACTAGCCGTTCTGAGCGTGATCGCACGCTTAAAAGCGGCCTTGGCCACACCAGTCACATGTACTCTTTCCCATCTCCCGTCTTCTCGACTTTTGTCTTGACGTCAGGTGCAGGTGTGGGAGTGGTGAGAAAGTGGGGTAGATCCTGCGAGTCTACTTTCAATATAATTCAGCTACAGTCACCGCGTCTGTCTTCAGCTTTCTGAAGCTCGTGGTGGACATCGTCGAGAGCGACGGTCGAACTATCACCCAAAGGGTCACATTTAAGAAGGGGGTCATTGTAGCCTGACCCTAGCGGGTTGAATTATTTTGTCAGCTGACGCCGTTTCCAGTCACGACTTCCGGCATAACGTGACAGTTTAGGGTGTGCTAACTATAACCTCGAACCGCATTGGACCGCCATGATGAGAGGTGCCCGATAAATGGCCTCATTATTTTTCTTCTCCTGTGTAGCAGCGGCCTGGTCGACTGTTGGTAATGCTGAGTGACTGAAAGTGACGATAACTCTTGTTAAAAGGCTTCACACGACTGTGTGGCAATAGTATGCACCATTAGTACATGGCATGACCCAACGCGGTCCCTGTTTTGGTTTGACGCTACAGCGCGGTGCAGCCCATTTCGGGGACACGTGCACGTATGCACACACAACCATACAATGTTTTATCGGTGACGACGATGATGATCATTAGTGACACTGCTGGCGGACTTTACGTGCTGATGAGACGCACGCTAGAGTTGCCAGGGCTATAAATAATGCCGTCTCCGTGAACAGAAAACCGAACCTCAAGTGCGTGTTGCAGCTAAAGATATCGGATAAAAGACAGGCATTAAAGATAAGAGTAGTTTGACCGATCGTCAAAGTTGAGACGGTCGACTTGGATCCAAAGATTGACCTGGTGGCAGGAACAGGTCTGAATTATTTGACTTCTCCTAGTAATATTCACCGGCGCCTCGCTTGTGGGACATCACGGATGCTCTTCAAGAAAGAATTTTACCGAAATAGAAGACTGAGGGCGTGAGGTTAATAATCATGGGTAACCTCACGCATTTTAAATTCATCAGGCCCCTACTGATATTCTGCGATGACAGGCAAGACCGACGAACGGTAACCCCATTTTACTTCGTGCACTGCCCATGCGTTTCAATTGATGCAGCCCTTAAACCCCTTAACTGCATAACACCGGGTTGATCACCTTTCATTTTTTTTTCCACTGGGTTTGTTGTATGAGAAGAAAGAGCAAAAAGTACGCTTTATTTGGAAACATCATTTCCAAACTTTTCATCCACGAATACCTCTCATTCACTGTTCATAAAAATGGGCACACGAAAATGATAGCACCAGATGGTCGCAAACGCGAGGTATTGACGTCAAACTACAGCTGCCGGCATTGCAGACAATTGTAAGTCAATGTGGTACGATATTTACGTCACATTTAATTTTCTTCGAAAATATTCGAGGACAAGGACTTAATCGGTATCATAAAACAACAAGTAAAGTCTCCTGTAATAGGGGAATAGTGGTAAATAAGGAGATTATGAATGGAGGGAAATGGCAACTAATAGGTGGACATGAAAATCAGGAAAGAATACGTAGGTAGGAAGAAATCGGTTAAAATTAAACAATTCAGTTTAGAAAGCAACGTGCAATTCGAAAGAAGGTATGTTGGACCAAACTGTAAGACTGACAGAAAACTAAAATGTCCAGCGAACCAGTAGCCTTAAGTCTAAAAGTAACCATAAAACTAACCTTAACCTCAAAAATATATTCAAACCTAATCCTAAAACTAGTACCAACCCGATAAAATTAGCAGCAACACGTACAGCAGCCTGGTAAACTAACGAAAAGCTAAAATATCTAGAGAAGAAGACGACTCGATCGCAGGACTCGAATGTGATGATGACTCGGTCATCTGGCCCTCTGGTGTTCGCGTAGGATGACGTGATGGCCTGTCCATTTCCCCAGT